AATCCTCTAGAGCTTTTTAATAACAAGTACAATAAAGTCCAAGCCTTGTGATGTATATGTGAAGTTGCTGTTAATAACCAAAACCAGAAATATACATCCCAACATTGATATCTGTGTTTTTACCTCACTGGTTGTCATCCACTATTCACTAGACAACGGAAAACTTGTTGCAACGAACGTAAGATTTTCATTAGGAAAAAAACAGGCTGCATATTCTGACATGATGCAAATTCATAATTAAATGCAACAATCCAAAACAAATACAACCACAGAAGCAAGCTTCGGAAGAGAAAATGTGCTGCAAAATGCCAAAATAAATACACTAACAGTAAACCTGCGGCCGAAACATAAATAAAACAAAGATATACATCGAGAAGACAAATGGAACATCATAACAGAAGTGTCCCATAACTATTATTAAACCACAACCTCCTGGCTACTTAAACATTAGGGCTTCTTCCTTCTGTCCAACTTCGCCATCATTCCCTGCTGATTGCCATCTTGGGCCGGACAACTTAGACCTCCCAGGGGTACAAAGCTCCAGTGAGATAGTCAGAGAGACACATTGGGGGATAGGAAATTGCAGCCTGGTTCTCCTTATAGAGATCTTATGTGCCATGGCAGAGCGTTAGCCCTTGATGAGTCATGAAAAAAAATCTAAAAATGGTCTCTGCCCGCTTAAAATTCCTGTCTTGATGCACTAATAGAAGCTGTAAGATTTAATGCTAGGGAGATCTGGACTGTGAAATCCAGGAGGGCATTATGGGACGATTTTGTTTCTCAAGATGACTGTACATAATCACCGGCGGTGAATTTGCTGTCGCTGACAGACGCGGTTAACCTGAGCGCAGTATGAGTTAAAGATGGTAGACCACCAGTGTCATAGAGATTTCTCCACCAATACATTTGGCGTTTCTTCTCAAATAGCCAAAGGCACTAACTATCACTACATACTTGTTTGTGTTTATATGGGTGAGGGGATGTGCGGCGTCACCTCACAGCAGGAAGGTTACTGGTTTGAATACTCCAGCTAGACAGGGGGGCCTTTCTGAGTGGAGATAGTATAATATTCCTGTCCATGTTTTGGTTCCCTCCGGGTACTAGACTCCCTCCCAAAGATACTCACTAGGTTAATTGGAGACTCTAATGGTGAATGTAAGTGTGAGTGGTTGTCTGTCTCAGCATGTCAGCTCTGTTATCAAACGTTGACCTGTCCAGGGAGAACCCTGCCTCATGCTCAATGAACAGAAATATGTTGCATCACATACTGTTGGTTTTAGAAAGAGATACCATTTTGATAGTTCGGCATCATTTTATACATCTGAAATGTTGCGTTGTGTGTGCTATTTGTTTTTTGTTTTTTTTAATGTTTTGAGTTGGTATGGAGTGGTTTGATTGGAGATTAGAGGGTGAACATAATATACAGTTTCTATTATGTGCAACTTTTCGGTTCATTGGTATGTGTCCATGTGTGTTTATGTATGGATTTATTTATGCTCACTTGATGCATCTGGCCCATATACTTGTGTCCATGCATACTTATGAATGTGATTATGCATGTATGAATAGATGTATGGGTGCATGCAGTGAATGAGTGACCGGTCAGTGGGGAATATTGTTGGGATGATGGGGGGATGGTGATGTGGGTGCAGTCTGGGGGTGGACTGGGTGGGGGATGGGGCGTGCAGAAACAGGGTGCAGGATGGAGGAGGATCATGGTGCATAAAGGGTATAATATTTGTATGAGAAATAACAGCGTTTTAAAAGCTCTACACCTGCTCTAGGCAGCTCAGCTTCAAGCACCTGTCAGGTTAGAAATGAGGTGACAAATAAGCAGCTGCAGCAAAAAGGTTTCGTCCTGTCAGCATATTTCACAACCATGCTCTGTTGCTTACAATCAGACACTGATTTCTTGGGCTTGGCAAGCTGTTGCAAAAAAAATCATTGTGCAGCACAAGTAGAATAAACTGTGCGGCTATCCAGTCAACCAGCCAGAAACTTAATTTTTTTAAAAGGGTGCACTTCACAGTTAACAAGAACCAAACTGTGTAATTCCTGCACAGGATTTGTGTGCTGCAAGCTTAATCCTTACTCTGTGCAGTGTACAGGTTTACCCTCCACTGCTCTCCTCTCTATATCCCTCTGTGTTTCAGCATGCTCAAATATAGAAAAAAAAATAGTTTACAAGAGTAACCTCTGAGAATGAATTCAGTTTGAACTCATTAATTAAATATTACAAGAGCTGTAGTACTGTGTGTGCCAGAGAACTTCCTCTCCAAATCAAACAGAGTAAAAGTTGAATGCTTGGTGGTCCAACATTATATGGGACGCCTCTGCAGACCAATCTGCCTCTGTGCATACAAGGCAAACACTCTGCAAAAGCACATGTAGGAGTCTTAAACAGAAATCAGAAATGTTCTGCTGGTGCATTTGTTTTTTGGATTTGTCCAACCTTTTCACTTTCCGTCATTTGTGTACTTGCAGCCTGTTTGCTGTTTTTTCTAAATGTCTGCATCTTATTTACTGATGTTGACCTTTTTATGCCACATATTACAGAAGCTGTTAAGTAAATGGATCCGTTTTTACCAGTCCCATTCATAAACATGGGACAGACAGTGCACTGACGCAGTAGCGGTCACATTTTTGAGGTTCAGTGTCTTGCTCAAGGACAATTAGACATTGGACTGCAGGAGCTGGGGATAGAACCCCCGACCTTTCAGTCGATAGATGACTTACTCTACCACTGAACCACAGCCGCCCATTTCCAAAAGTGCACCAAATTCCTACCATAAAGAAATACTTCTAGCCTTGTCAACCACCAAAAAGTTGGCATGCAAAGATTCAGATTTGTCTGCACCAGGATCGTCTTGTACTTGATGACCAATAAATAGTTTTTAATAAGATTTAAAATTCCAAAATGAAAGAAACATGCTGCAAATGGGGGAAAAAAAGCTGCAGAAAGTCAAAACAATTGCATAAACCGCAAACATGCAGCATATCTGTTATTCAAACACTGAGAAAATCATTTTCAGCACATTTCAGTTGTTGACGTTTTTTAACTTCATACTTTTCTTGATAAAACCTATTAGGCTGTTACAACTTGTCCGTCACGGTCGACCACCGTACCACCTTATCATTCAACCCACACAGGGGCAACAAACCCAAGGAGAGACGTACACAGAGTGAAGGCCACTCTCTAATATAATAAGTAATGCTGGACTGTCATAATAATCAATGAGTGGGCTGACAGTAGTCGCAGCAGGCTTTCAGGAGGAGTGTTTTCACTCAAAGTCTGAATGTGTCAAGGATGCCTGATGAAGAACACAGGGGGTGATAAAACCTCGCTGGTAATTTCCTATTTCATTCATAAAAGAAACTGTGAGGAAACAAAGCCTGCAGAGTAATGATTTCCTCCAAACATCATGCATTTGTATGCGAGGCAGTGACACATGAATGTTTAAAGAGCAAAGATGCTCCAAATGCCTGAGGAACCGTCCTGCTGGCCTCAGAGACGGAGAAAAAACTAAACTGAAAACATGTCCAAAGTAAAACCTGGTGTATAACAGGTTGGGGTGCGTGGGAGTTTGTGGGAGAAGGAGAGAGAAGCAAAGAAAGACATAGAGAGGAGAAATACAGAGTATGGGCAAAGGAAGGTGCAGGAATTCCTCTGGAGCCACAATTAACCCAGACACAAAAGAACATCGCTGCACTACACACTCGCAGAGCTCGGATTCAGTTTTGGCACAACTTCACTGGTATCAGCTCCAGCATTCTTCCAAAAATATAGGCCACTGGCTCGCAGTCAGAAAAGGAAACTGGAAATTGTATTATTTCTGCCTAAAAAAACAACACATCCGAGATACCTGTCAGAGCTCTGTGCACCAGACCGATGCACCACGCAATCTGTCTGCCTGCTAGACTGATTTTCATTTATACATGATTTGAAAACTGTTCCACACAATCAACCCTCTTTTTCTTTTTGTTTTTAAATATGCTTGTTGTCTTTTCTGTAAGTGCAGAAAGGATTCAATCATCTGCACACACACTGGACCTGACCTGCCCAATCCACACTCAAAACTGGATTTTATATGACCTTTATTTAAACTCGTACTCGACCTGTTATGTCTCACTGAAATTAAAACCACAACAAAAAGAGAAAAAGGCCACACAGGATATGGGCGCATTTTCTGGTTCATAACTGTTAACACTACGAGACAATACAGCTCAATAAGATAAGATAGCTGCAGTACACGCCATGAACACACCATTAAGCTGTAATAGAGGGCTGATGGGAGATGTACAATGGGTTTTCTCATAGTGATAAAAAAAAAAAGACAGTTATTTTCTCTCTGAAAGTCTTCTTTTGGAATAATTTTCATCAGTTAGCAAATCCTTCAATGACCTATAATGTAGAGCATTTCTGTTTAATGGAACATGTTCACATCCTTGACAGGTCTGATTTGTTGGATTTGTGAAGAAATGTTGGTGAAGACGGTGTTTCTGTGGCCTGAAACTACATTCAACCTTCTACAGCATGCCCCTGAAATAGAAACAACTCCTAACGGGAATCAGAATCTTGGCTCAATCTGGAGTTGGTTTTACAGATTAAAAAAAAAAATGTTCTTTGTGATAACTGTTAACAAAACATAATGCATAGAATGACCAAGTAAACTGCAATACTACCACTGTTGACAACTCTAATAATAGAATATTGTATGAAATATCTGCAGTAAATCTAAATTTAAAGTTTAGTGTGAAAGCTGTAAAGTTTATACAACGACGTGCCCAATTTCTGGAGTGTGCAAAAAGCTCAAGAAAGACAATGTGAAATAAACAGAGCTAATCCACGTTATGTCTGCTGTTGAAACATTACTATTAGGCTATTATTTGGAGGTAAAGTGTTAGGATAATAATGTAACGATAATGTAAGGAAAAATGACTGGGATAGGTCTTTCTCATAGTTGCTTTCACATGATTTCGCCACAGATTTGATCACTTACGACAGTTTTCTTCATCACTGTTGTCGGAGCAGTCGTCATCGTCGTCACACCTCCATATGGTGGGTATACACCTTTTGTTGTTGCACTGAAACTGACCATCCTCACACTCATCCGTGGCTGGGGATAATAAAAAAAAAACAACACACAAACAAACATGAGGGGGGAGAAACAGCGTCCAGATGGATCTGTGGCAACAACAAACGGATGCAGCTGAGCAGCGACCGCTTGTAGTTCAACTGTCATTTGCAATTGAATGCCTAATTGATATTCAGCATTCATTCGTTCATTCGGGTCAATTGGTTGAGGCGCTGTGTGTTTCTCTTTCAATTATTGAAGCTACTTTACCATGATTAAAAAAAAAAGTGTTGAGAGAAAAGATGAGGCCATGTCTGCCGGAGACAATTTTTTTTCACAACGCACAGACAAAGATTCAGTCTGGGTTACTACAGCTTCTTCCTCTAATGCAGTATGGATGCTCACAGCCGCGAGACACATGCCAGACGCGCGAGGGCTTCAGCGTAAATCACTGAGTGACGGAATAATCACTCAAATCCTTAAATTAGACAGAGCCTATACTTGTGGCTCAATGATGAAGAAAGTGTCATTTTCCTTTTTTTTCCCCTCCTGGTTGAAAACGTTAAAGTGTGCTACCCGGAGCGCTGCCAGTCTCTTACCTACATCCCATCACACACGCGCATAACGCTTTATGTTTTATTTCACTCAAGTCCCACGCGCAGGAAGAAGCAAAAAAACACAGAAGGCGTTTGGACTCACCTTCCGACAGATGGAGCGTCACGAGCAGCGAGTGTAAAAGTAACAATGTCCTTATATCCGTCCACATTTCTGAAGGAGGAGGTGATGGAGCTCATTCACATCCACAAAACAAAGCCCGAGAGCCGCTATGGTTGTAGCGCCGCTGCGACGCTGCTGCCTGCCTCTCCGCGGTGTGACACCCCCTCCTTACCCCCCCCACTCCCCTCCCTTTGCTCAATGGCTGCCCGGCGCATGACGACAGCGCGTGGGCGGGGACAAAAATGGAGTAAAATGCTCTCGCAATTGAGGGCAATAATTTGTAAACCCACCTGTTCAGCTCAGTTTATGGACTAGTTGTGTTGTCTTGGTTTGTGTGCTCTGATGGGTTCCTGAGGGTCTGAGAGGAGCCCAGAATATCGAGATTTTTAAACGCAGTCTTAAAACTAATTCATTCAGTCTGGCTAGTGTTTTATATCAATTCAAATCTTTACATTACTGTACTGTCTTTTTTTATTCTACTACAATTTTAAATATTTTCCTCTTATGTATTTATTTTAATATCTTGTTGCTTTTATGTGTCGTATTTTATTTTATTTCTATACATATTTTTTAATTCTTGTTGGTGTGCATTAGTCTCTCAATGATTTTATAAACTACTTTTTGTCAATAACTTTTCTGCACTCTTGTTAAGCACTTTGAACTGCAATTTAATTTTTCTGAAAGGTGCTATATAAATAAAGTTTGATTGATTGATTGATTGATTGATGTGAAGTGTCCCTGAGTCCCTTGAAAGGCACTTTAAAAAGCAATTTTTATCATTATAATTATTATAACAATTAGGCCTATTATTATTAATAAAAACCACTGTTTCAATAAGAACAAAATAATAGCTATGGTCATTTATTGGTTATTATGGCCTTATTATGGCCTGGTTGGGTAAGCATAAAATAGAGCCTAAGGGGCCTACTGGGAAGATCTGACTGGCCGTATTAACCTTGATTAAATCAGTTATTCCCAAAGTGTGACCCATGGCTCCTAAAGGGCCCAAAGTTATGTCAAAGGGGTTGGTGCTGCAAGGCTTAGGCTACCTTACATTGCTTCTTTGTATCTGAAATCTTCCACTCGACGATTTGGTGAAACAAGGAGAAGACATGAGTTTTGAGTAGGCAATTCTGCCAATTGAGAATCAAAGTCAGGCGCTCAGCTGATCAGCTGTCTCACCCAAGTGTGATTGTTGACTTCACTGTAAAAAAAAAAAAACAACAACTACTAATTTGTATGATGCCACATAAATTGAACCATATTAACTTGTGTATAGTTAAAGCATTTGTCATTATGACTGAGATGCAGCATTTCAGCACATCTACACCGAGACTTTCACATCTTTGAGACTTCCATTCAGGATATAGCCTACCTTTGTATCTTTGCTGTCAGTTCCTCTAAGTATTCTTTATCTCCAACCTAATCTTCTATCAGGGTGGAGGGGGAGAAATTTCCTGGGTCTACCAAGGAGGGAGGAGGCAAGGATGCACAAATCAACGTGATAAAAAAATTAACACTCATTATTATTATTATCATCGATGGAAGATAATGTATTTTTTTTATGTAAGGGGGAATTTTTTTTCTTAGCGAACATTAAATATTTACAGCTGATAATCAACTATTTAGTTATTTCAATTTAAATGTATGCTATATTTGGTTTGTTATTTGTTGCACTTCCTGTATTACCCTTGAACTTAAGATTTTAAGATGAATTCAGCCTTATATTGTATTATGTTTTCCTTAAAACCCCTTAGACAATACACAAAGAGGTAACCATAGTGTCTCAGTTTATTAAAGGCCTGCACACTGACAGGTGTTTTCAATTACCCTGACTGATTGGCCCTCTTGTCTGTTTGAAGATGTGGATTATACGGTGTCGTCAAACTAATTAACACTCATTTGTCTTTCCAACACCTGCAATAAGACTGAAGCTGTTGATCAACAACAGCCCACACAGTCTAATTGACCTTATCTTTACTTTAAGTCAGAAAACCACCGGTGTTTTTAATAACATTAACACTGACAATGTTCTAGGACTGTATGTCATTTTGCACAAGACCATGACACTTTAATTACACCTGTACGCCACATGTCAAAACCTTTGTAGGTGGACTATGGTGTTCAAGGACTTTGGTATTGAATAAAAAAAATACTTAAAACATCAGCAATGCCAGGAAAATGGGTCACTTAGAATTAAAAAAAAATCTGTGGAAATTTATATCAGGCTGAAATTATAATTAAGAAAAATAGTGACCAGAAACAGGTTTTCCTTATAAAGGTTCGTTCAAAAATAATCTTACAGGACATTAGCTTATTAACATCTGCTCTTATGAAGGCTTTTTCTCTTTTTCAATATTAGTGAAAGATAGTTGGGATGATTGCTTTGGGGATTTTGGATCTAATAAGCTAACAGACATTGTTTTCTTTACATATTTTACCGTCTGTACATCTTCTTTTAGTCAATGTTCTTGGGGCTCTACAGTTAACACTGTGCACCATCTGCATGCAGACCACAGTCTATGGTGCAGACATTACTATGCAAACCTATAATGTTTCTATGGAGTAAGGGTACTGTTTTCAAACCATAGTAAGCAGGATGTAGACCTGCAGTTCTCTGGGGCTAAGAAAACCTAAATAATCATAAAAGTCAAAGAAGTTGGATCAGAGCTCTTATATGATGAGTGCCAGCATTAATACAACAGCATTAGTACTAAACAGATGATAAGAAAACTCACATCAAAGGAGAGTCCCCAGTTTGTGTAGGCCATGTGTTCGTCTTCTTCTTATTATTCTTCCTTTTCTACTTCTTCTTCCTCTTTGGTGTTTTATGGTCACTTCGTTGTTTTTGATCAATTTGAACATTTTAAATACTTCCTGGTTAAACCACAATGCTACTAACAGGGGTTAACTTAAACATATTAGTCAAGCCATTAAAAATAGTAGATATGTCATTATTTCTATTCAGGCATTAAAATTGACCTCAATTACAACAGTTTTATTAGGCTAGAGTTCATCTTAGAGCAGGTTTGAAAAAAATATACATAAATTTAATGTTTTTGATCAGTTTGTTTTTCATGAGACAAATGGGGTAATGAGTGATGCTCCTTTACATTGTGTCGCATCTACTACTCAACTGCCTAGAGATTGTTAAGACTATTGGAGGTTAGTGCATCTTGTGGTAAATATACTTAACATTGCAACAGTGACACTAAAAAAGCCCTTGGTCCTTTTTATAATGGAAAAACTGAGGCTAACAATAACCAACTGACCGTTGAGTTGAGCTAAATAAAAAAAGAAATGTAGCACTGAATGTAAGAAGGAAAGCAGTTTGATGTAGCATTTATCCAAAACAACAGGGTTTTTTATGTGTTTGTGTGTACTACTGATGCCAAATCGAGAAGGTGCAACTGTGTGTATGGGAGAGAAAGTGTGACAAAGAGAGAGAGGGTGTAAGAGGTTCCTGGTTTGTCCATGTCACACCCACTGAGGTAGTGAAATCAATTTCAGAGCATGACAGATATGTAATAGTGGTTCAGCGGCGAGGGCCAGCAGCAGAGCAGATAGGAGGGGATCGGGAGGTCAAGCAATTTTGTGTCCCTGTGGTGTTTTTGTGGTCAGTTTGAGGGAGATGGGGGTATTTTGGAAAACATATTAGTAGTAGCTAGCGAGAAGCCTCCACAGGAATACGGATCCATACAGGCCAGGAAACAAATTCTCCCGTTCTTTAGAAATGTTAACAGGAGGGGCAAAAAGTAAAGTACGGCTGATGGAGAGGTGAAACATGCGTGACATATATGGCTTTATTGATGCGGAAAACAGCACCCTGGGCTCCACCTGTTTCAGCAAATACACAAGCCCTAACAGTACCGTATCCTGTTCAACATCCCTGATTATTAATATACCACCAAAGCAATAATGTGATATGTAGTCTCATTTATATGTAAATTATGCGAGTGCTAAGGTGAACCGCAGGCAACGCAGTCTCTCAGAGGCAGCAGCAGCAGGAAAAGGCCCCCTGTACCTCTTTCATTAACCAAACTGCAGCGTTATTTCTCCCACTACACACAATGAGGTAATACTCGAGTGCAGATAAAAGTGCATCAGTAGTATTTACAAGGTCTGTGGCTCCCAGCCAGAGAAATAAGGCTGTCTTTCAAAAGTAGGCCACGACCATCGCTGACAGCATTATCAGTCATTTTAATGGAGATAAGCTGAAGGATAACTTAATCCCCCTCTCAAACTATACACAAACACAACCCGGAGCACACATGCACTTATTTGTGCACACAGTTATGTTCACAGCCAATACCGTTGTGGCACTGAGCAGAAAATATAGATAGTTGGGCATGTTGTCATGGTTGCATGGCAACCGTCCAGCAATTCTGAGGCAGCAGGAGTGGATAGGAAGAGCTTGTTGAACCGGTGTTTAAATATGTTACGGAATAATTGTCAGGAAATGAGCAAGTTAGCCATATCAACCAATTTCATATTAGCTCGCTCCAGACCTGCGTGTTTCAAATTCGCAATTTTGAGCCGTGATCAGCATTAAATAAAACATATATATAGGAATAAAGATATAACTTAACAATCAATAAATTTCATAAAAAATGAACGACTAAAATCATATATTTTAAACAAATGAATCTATAAACTTAAAAGGAGTCTTCTACATGCTGTAAACTACCTCCATAGTTCAAAAGAGTATGCCACTGGTAAGCTACAGTATAGGTTCATTGAATAGAGTCAGAGAAAGAAGAAGCTCTTTTCTCTAACATACAGATTGCAAATTCCCCAGCAAATGATGTTTTGTTTCATTTTATATTGTTTCATCGATTATAGGTCTATTATACAATGTGTACAGAACCAGATGCTGCAGAGAAATAGCTCACACTATTAGTTTTATAATGTGCTATAATTTCTGCCCATTATGTTTGCTCAAGAAACATTAAATCGATGTTTGCTCAAGACCTTCTCATAACAAGGCTCTGATTCTGAGTGGTGACCTGGGTGTTAAGCTGTACAAGAAAATAAAAGTAACAGAAAGCAGCTTCCTTAATCGCTACAATTCTCCATGGCTTTATGAAATAAAGCCCCCAGTACTTCAAATAGTCTGGCTAATGACTATGGAATCATAAAGTGATTGA